ACTCTCACACACACACACACATACACACTCACACTCACACACACACATACACACTCACACTCACACACACACATACACTCTCACTCACACTCACACACATACACTCTCACTCACACTCTCACACACACACACACACACACACACACAAACACACACACACACCTCTCTCACACACTCTCACTCTCTCTCACTCTCTCACTCGCTCACTCGCTCACACAAAAACATTTTTTTTTTAAATCGAGAAATTGAATAAATCTTACAGATTTTTACAGTGATTTTTTCATATTCATTTATTTTCAAATTGTGTAATTTAGTAAGTATTGTGTGAAATAAATATAAATTTAATTTGCCTTTAAAAAATCCATATCCACTATTGGAAAGACTAATAATCTGGAAGTGAGAGTAGAGTGGGACCTGTTTGAGAGCCACAGCGACGCCGGCGATGGCGTGATTGTGCGGGCCGCCTTGAAGTGAAGGGAACACAGAGAAGTTGACCTTCTCCTCCAGATCGTACATGACCTCTTTGCCCTTCTTATCCAGCGAGCGAACGCCCTTCCGGTAGAATATAAGCCCCGCCCTGAAGGAGGAGCCAGAGCAGAGGAGGCGGAGAAACGGTTAATGATGGACTGTGTACTGTGCACAATTTTTGTGGTTTGTGAGGATAGCACAATATTTGGCTGAGATACAACTATTTGAAAATCTGGAATCTGAGGGTGCAAAAAAAAAAAAATCTAAATATTGAGAAAATCATCTTTAAAGTTGTCCAAATGAAGTTCTTAGCAATGCATATTACTAATCAAAAATTAAGTTTTTATATATTTACAGTAGGACATTTACAACATATCTTCATGGAACATGATCTTTACTTAATATCCTAATGATTTTTGGCATAAAAGAAAAATCTATAATTGTGGCCCATACAATGTATTGTTGGCTATTGCTACAAATATACCCCAGCGACTTAAGACTGCTTTTGTGCTCCAGGGTCACATATTATCTGCATGCATGCAACATCCAAATCATCTACATTTTCTAAAAATGTGCAGTGCATATTGCATGAGATCCCACAATGCAATGTGCTAAAACTGACCTTCAGCTACCACAATCTGCTGTGATTTTGAGCTCTCTTTTTCTCATTTGATCAGACGGCCAAGTTATGACATTTTTACACAAAACTGGACTAAAAAAAAAAAAACACCAAGCAGGCATTTTATTTCATTACTTTTTATGTAATGTTGTCATGTTACAATGTAACTTACTGCTTCTGTTCTGCAGTAAGATTTTTGTTCTCTTCTGCTCACCAAAGCTGCATTGATTTGATCAAAAATACAGTAAAAATCGTGAAATATTATTGCAATTTTAAACAGCTGTTTTCTATGTGAATATGTGTTAAACTGTAATTCATTTCTGTGATGCGCAGCTGAATTTTCAGCATCATTACTCCAGTCTTCAGTGTCAAATGATCTTCAGAAATCATTCTAATATGTTCAAAGAATGAATGGTTTGTGCACTAAACACTGGCGGTACACTAGTACTGCACACAGGTTTTGAGAAATGGATCACAGCAGAGCGATGTACCTGGATCCTCGCAGTGATTTGTGTGTGGTTGTGGTGACGAGGTCGGCGTGTTGGAACGGCGAGGGAATGGCTTTGCCTGCCACCAGTCCGCTGATGTGAGCCATGTCCGCCAGCATGTACGCGTTCAGCTCGGTGCACAGCTGCTCGGAGACAGAGAGCAGAGTACTAAAGAGCTCAGAGAGGATTATGAAAGCGTTTAGAAGCTGAGATCCGTGGCGCTCGCAGCAAACATCACAATCAAAGCGCTCCCGTTATCGGCCCATCGGAGAGTGACCTGATGAGATCCGCGCGCTTCTCCGGGGAACGAGACCCAGATACTGCAGGCGCTTCGCTAACACTTCTGAGCAAGATGCTACGCTCTCAGGGTAAAAATAATCTCCTGCTGATTATACACTGATACGGATACATCTTAATCTGTCGTGGAGTGTGTATGTATGTGTGTGTGTGTGTGTGTGTGTGTGTGTGTGTGCAGGAATGTATGTCAGAACTATGAGGGATTGTTTCCTTCATTTTTATTGAAAATAAATGCGTTTCTGATGTGATATGAGATTTGAAAAGGAAGAAAAAAAGTTAGGTAAAAGGCGGATTCGAACTCGGGTCGATCGCGTCAAAAACATCACGGTGCGCTTTACCATCTACACCGCCGAAGCTGACGATTAAGCGCGGTC